TTCTGAGCCTGCCAGGAGTGATCCCTGAGTGCAGAGTTAGGAGTAAGCCCTGAGCACCACCAGGTGTGGCCCCCACCAAAATAGATAAATGTTCTCATCATAGCCCTGTGTGCTGGGCGCACAGGTTTGTGATTGGATGGTGTTGGAGGGTTTAGGGGGTTCTGTACCACATTAATAGTGCTCAGAAAAACCATATGAGGTGCCTTCAAATCAAATTAGGGTTGGCCACATCCACGGCAAGCACCTTAAACTCTCCCTCCCCCCCAATTTCTTTCTTTTTTGGAGTGATGGTTTGGGCCACACCTGGTGATATTCTAGGGATTATATCTGGTGCTAGGGATTGAACCAGGGTTGGTTGAATTCAAGGCAAGTGCCTCTCACTCAGTCCCTACAGGCCTTCGTTTCGTTACCTTTCTTAGACAGCGCCTATCCTTGTCACACATGCTTCTGCAGAGACAACACACTCTACCCAAGAGGAAAGAAAAGGTGAGTCTGCCCACTCTGACTCCTATTTTCATCCAAGTTCCATTTTGGGGGGTGGGCCGACACCTGGCAGTGCTCAGGGGCTATTCGCGGCTCTGTGCTCGGGGCATGTTCCTGGTGCTGCTGGCATCAGGAGCAGAGGAGGTGGTGGTGGTGGTTGGGGGTGGGGCAGGGTCTCCTGCATGCAGAGAATATATTCAGTGGAATATATTCTCTCTCTCCCTGGCCCCCAAGGCCGCTTCTTGTCCTCAGCTGGCAGAAGATGGGCTTTTCTGTTTCTCACTTGATCGAAGAAATGATGGGGGCGAGGGCCTCTTCTCTGCAGCTGGGCCCTGGCCACTCCAGGGTGAGAGGCCTGGGGAAGGCAGGGCTGGGCAAGGCCGGCTGGCCCTGCTGTTTCTGCCAACTCCAGGGATTAAGCCAGCACTCTGGCCCACCTGTTGTTTTACTCATTCAGCAGGAACATAGTCACAGAGGGCTCGAGCTCATTCGTGGTAGTGGTCGGGTTTCAGATAAGGGAGAAGAGTCTTGACCTGAAAGATCTCACAATATACCCAATGGTGATCACAGACAGAAATGATCACGGGAGTAGCAGACTGTGAGCTGAGTATCACACAATCACCCATCTACTTTCCCAATTATGTGTTTCCTGAGCACCTACTATGTGCCAGGAATTCTGCTGGGCGGTGAGCCCATCAAGGCAAGATAACACACCCCTGGGTCTCCAGGTCAGGGGACACGGACCCCCAGAGGGAAGCAGAGCTGTGGGGAGCCCGCAGATGCAGACATGCCCAGAGGGAGCATAAAGGAATCCCAAACAGGATGGGCAGAGTGAGGACAAGTGACGACACAGAGAAGGGATATCTTCCCGAAGGAGAAAGTCCCCGACTGAGTCTTGAGGGATTAAGACAGTAGAAACAGGAAGAAGGCCTGGATGTTTTCAGCAGAGGGACAAAGTAACAGTGTCCTGAAGGCAGATTGCAGTGATCACACAACAGGTAGAGGCTGTGTCCAGTGGAAGGCAGAGGCCAGCCAGTCACATTTGCCTTGCAAAACCAGAACTCTCAGAGGTGCAGGGAACGTGGAAGAATTTGGCTGAGAGCATGATATGGAGGAAGGATTGAGGGGGTGTGGACTGACCAGTTGTAAGGTTCTCATGGATCCAAGAAATTTTATTTAGGAGATACCTGGCAAATTCTGACAGTGTGTAGTAGATGCGGGAGAGGCGAGCTTGGGAAGGGCACCAGGTAAGCAGTCCAGGGAAGAAAGGCTCCCCTCTAGAAAAGGTATGACTCTGGGTTCTGAGGAGCACTACTTGTGAGCAGCTTTGTAGGAGAGCCAGGTTTGGGGTGGGGACTTTGCACCAATCTGATTCTCAGATGTCTGGATACTGGCCTGGGGTCATGTCGGTCTGAAGAAGTGAGAAAGATACAGGCAAGGAGTGAGTTTCTCATAAATTAGGTTTTAGAAATGACTGCAGTGAAATGAATACGTAAGTATATCACTTAGAGACATAAAGTGAATTACCATGAGATAGCTCTTAAAGAGGCTGGAACAATAGTACAGCAGGTAGGGTGTTTGCCTTGTTTCCAGGGACCTAGGTTCTATCCCCGTATGTTCCCTCAAGCTGGCCTGGAGTGATCCCTGAGTGCGAGCCAGGAGTAAGCCATGAGCATTGTCTGGGTGTGGCCCCAAACAAACAACAGCAACGACAATATCACTTAAAGGGCTCAAAGAACTGAGTATAAGGATGCAGGAGTCTTGGCTTCCTCCCCACACTGCAGGTCCCCCAAATTAAAACAAGCACAAAACACCCAAAGCAACTTAATTTTGTTCTGGGTATGAGGAGGAACACAAAAAAGTGGGGAGGATATTCTTATTTTAAATAAGCATTTTGAATCATACTTTTAAAATCGTGAACATAAAACATACAAAATTTAAAAAATGAAACCTGTTCTGTTCTTTCTACTTTTATTTTATTATTTATTTATTTTTGCTTTTTGGGTCACACCCAGCGATGCATAGGGGTTACTGCTGGCTTTGCACTCGAGGGACCATATGGGATGCTGGGAATCGAACCCAGGTCGGCAGCGTGCAAGGCAAACACCCTACCCGCTGTACTATGGCTCCGGCCCCCCCTTATTTAATTTTTATTTTGCTTTTTGGGTCACACCCGGCTATGCACAGGGGTTACTCCTGGCTCTGCACTCAGGAATTACTCCTGGCCGTGCTCAGCCACGTGCAAGGCAAACGCCCTACCCGTTGTGCTATGGTTCCAGCTCCACTCTTTCTACTTTTAAAAAATTACAAAAAAGGGTATCTTGTATGAAATGATACAAAGCAAGAAAAAAACATTTTAAAGATAAAAAGCAGCGGCTTTTTCCAAATTCTTGATTTGTATTTATTTATTTTTCCCTGATTTTTTGGCCACGTGGTGCTCAGGGCCAGAGCGATAATACAGAAGGTAGGAGGCTTGCCTTTCTCGCGGCCAACCTGGGATTGCATCCCCGGCCTCCCATATGACCCCACCCCCGAGCCCCGCCCGGAAGATTCCTGAGTGCAGAACCAGGAGTAACCCTTGGGCATCGCTGGGTGCGTTTCCTCTGTTTCCTCTCCACCCACCGCCCCCACCCTCAAATGAGGAGCCCTCTGCAACCTGAAATCCATCACTGAGACCCGCCACCGGGAGCCAGATTCCGGGTGGCCTGCACTGCGCGCCTGCGACCCTGCGGATGGCCGGCAGGGGGCAGGCGAACTCCACGCAGTGCCCGCCGAGCCGCGCCCAGCCGGGTCCAACCGAGCGGAGCTGTGCGGTGCCTGGGTGCAGAGCGCGGAGGAGGATCCTGGTACCTGCCCGCGGGTGGGCGTCGCGACACCTCACTCCTTACCTGGGAGGAATTGGGCTTAAATTCCGTTCGTTCTCAAACCATGATGCGCTTCTTCTCAACTCCGATGCGCACGCACCAGCTCTGGTTCCGAGCGGCGTCTGGGCGTGGCCGACCTGTCCAGCTCCTCCCTGGGATAATCCAGGCTTTTGGCAGGGGGACCCCGCGCAACCTGCTCTCCAAACGTTTGTTGCGAAGGTCAAGCGGTAATAGGTCAAAATGAGACTTGAGGGGCTGGAGCAATAGCACAGCAGGTAGGGCGTTTGCCTTGTACGCAGCTGACCCGGGTTCGATTCCCAGCATCCAATATGGTCCCCTAAGCACTGCCAAGAGTGATTCCTGAGTGCAAAGCCAGGAGTAACCCCTGAGCATCGCCGGGTATGACCCCCCTCCCTCCCAAAAAAAAAGAAAAAGAAAAATGAGACTTGAAAGGTCACAACAGAGGCAAAGGGCTGCTTCTACCTGATTCTGTGTTAGAATTAGGTCTCTAGGGGAATGTCCTCTAGGCCCCCAATGAGCTCTAATAGATTGCCTGGGTCGTATCATTACCCCGTGCAGGTCATTCGATTCAGGACCCACTGAAATCAAACCCAAGTTGGCTGCGTGCAAGGCAAACACCCTGCCTGCTGTGATATCACACCAGCCCCCTGCAGGTTTAGTTCTGGTCGGGGTGTGTCCAAGCTTCTGCCTTGCCATTCCACAGGAAAAACAATAGGAAAACCAAGAACAGGATAGTTGTCCAAAGGGGATCAGAGGACAGGATAGGGTGAGGGCAACCCCCTAAAAAAAGAGGGATTGGAAGTGGTGGTTCCAGGAAGGGGCAGATGGGTAGCCTGGTGCTCACTGACATCCTGTATGCCAAGAGCCCCCCCACCCGCACCCCACTCTTACATTCACAACTCACGCCTCTTGTCTTTTTTTTCTTTTGTTTTATTTTTAAACATTCTTATTTCACACAAAGCATATCAGGAGAACAATCACGTTCTCCCCAAGTCGGTGACCGGTCTTCGTGACCAATACTGACAGGGCAGAACATCTCCGTCTGTCAGATGCGGAGTGTGTCTGGACTGGTTCTGGCTATGCAGGAAACCCAAGCAGACCACTCCAGCCATGTTCACCTGCACCCTGCTGGCACCTGACGGCGCCCCAAAGTCTTGCGTCCTCTACTCAGGCTGGAACTGGACAAGGCTCAAGCAAGCCTCAGGCTGTGAATGGGGTTTGGCTCCAGGCCAGGACCTAAAGCCAGAGCAGGCACCTCTGGGCTGCCAGCCCAGAAAACAAGTAGTCACTGAGAACCCAGCTGGGGTGGACCCTCGCCCTGTCTCTGGCGGGACTCAGGGGGCTGTGCGGGGGCTCTGCTGACATTCTCCCACCCCCCATTTCTGCTGCTCTGCCTCCCAGCTCCAGTTCTGACCTTGGGAAGGCAAAACAGATGTAGCTTTGGGCTCCCTTTCTAAGTGGCTGGGCGGGGAGGTGGGTGTGTGTAGCGGGAGGGGGGAGAGATGTCCTCCATCCTGAAGGCTGATTTCCCCCCTCAGTCCCACCCTGTCACTCTCCCCGGACATGGTGGGGAGGCAGCCGGAGGGAAGCCACGCCACACTGATTCCTGCAAACAACCAGTGTAACAGCAGGTAAGTTTTGCTTCAAAATCCTTTAATACAAAATGGCAGAAGCCGCTGTGCTGTTGTAACAAAAGGAGCCACAGGGTGTCCGGAGAAATGTACTCCGGCAGAAGCTGCTGGAATCCGGCCAGCCCACCCAGGCCTGCCCCCCCCCCCAACCCGCCCTGCAGCTGTGGGTGTCACGTGTTTGGCTGGAGTGTAGTACTCAGAGGTGCTGCGGCCCCAGTGCAGGCTGGTCCCACACAAGTATGGGGGTGCCTTGGCCCCACTGTGGAATCAGGGCACATCAGGTTTCAGAGAGGCCTTATCCCAGAGGTCCATTCCAAGCGGGGAATCCCGGGTGGGGGGAGAAGGGGGGTTGCCACAGAACAGGGGCTTGCTCACAAGCCTGCCCACAAGATGGGCAGAAAGAAAGGCTAGATTTGGGGGTGGAGGGAGTTCTCCAGGAAGAAAAGAAATAATTAAGTTTGTTTAAAGGGAAGAGGGTAATACTTCTAGTTCACTTGGGCAGAGATAGCCCTGCCAAAGGGTCATCAAGAAAAAGGGGCAACCCCAATACTTATCCAGGATTTTTTTTTTTTTGGACCACAGCTAATAAAGCTAAAGGATTACTCCTGGCTCTGTGCTCAGGAATTACTCCTGGTGGTGCTTGGGGGACCAGATAGGATGCTGGGGATTGAACCTGGGTTGGCTGTGTGCAGGCAAAATGCCCTACCAGCTGTGTTATCTATCACTCCAGCCCCAGGTACCTTTTCTGGAGATGGGGGTGCGACAGGACTGGGAGTTGGAGGGCAAGGACTGTTGGCGAAGCCCTCTCAGTATGCCCAGACGCTGTTCGCAGGCTGGCTGGCGTGGCTCAGAGGCCCATGGTGCCAGGTTGGGGGGTGGGGGGGCGGGGAGCTAGAGTCCTCCTGCAGAGGCCAGAGGGCTGATGAAGCAGGACATCTGAGCTGTGAGCTTGCCTCCGGCAGAGAAGGACTGCTGCCACTTGTCCTGCCCAGAAAAGGCATCTAGGTGGTGGGAAAGGGGGTGGCCGGCTTGTCTCCAGGTTAGTGGAAGTCCGAGTTGAAGGATCTGCCGATGACCAGCCGCCTCACCTCGCTCGTGCCAGCCCCGATCTCATAGAGTTTGGCATCTCGCAGGAAGCGGCCCATGGGAAAGTCATTGATGTAGCCATTGCCACCTGCAGCCAGGATCAGGTGGGGATGAGAGAGGCCAGGAAGAGTGATGGGCAGAGGGCAGCAAAGGGCATGGGATACAGTCCCCTGGGGAAGAGCAGTGGATGAGGGGGTGGGGGGTGGGGGGTGGGGGGTTACTCGAGTGCTGAGGAATCCAGAGGAGGGAGCTTCTGCCTGACATGTAGGAGGGGGACAAGATACAGCACAGCATTCCTTTTCTTTTGTTTTTTGTCTTCGGGGCACACCTGGTAGTGCTCTGGGGACCTTAACAACTACTTTAACCCTTGTGCTAGCTCTCTGTCAAGTGAAAGGCATTTGCACAGATCTCAGAAGGGCCAGTGGCAGAGCCAGACTCCAAAGCTAAGCCGTCTGGCTGGTGTTTGAGCTCATCTGCTGCTGATGGGCCCAACCTGCCCTGTCCATCCCCAGGGCCCAGGGCAAGCACCCCTCTTTCTAGCACCCGGGGCAGAAGAGCCCTAAGGGCACCAGCTCAGCTGGGCTGGAGAAGCACAAAGTGAGGCATGATGGGCAAATCTCTCTGAAGGCAGCTGCGGGCTCTGGACGTGGGGATCACTCACCGAAACACTGGATGCCATCCAGGGCTACCTGGGTGGCACACTCAGCTGCGTACAGGATCACACCGGCGCAGTCCTGCCGGGGAGGCACTGGGTGAGCAGGGGCCCTGACAGCCTTCACGGAGCGGGGGCCCAGACTCCCTCCTCTGAGGCCTGACCTTACCTTGGGGGTGCAGTGGCCCTCATCGCAGGCCTTGGCCACGTTGTAGACATACTGCCGACTGGCCATGAGGCGGGTGTACATGTCAGCCATCTTCCCTTGCATCAGCTGGGCACACAGAGGGCACACGTCAACAGGTTGAGCTATGGTCCCCGCTGAACACACTCCCTTAGCACTGACACAGCAGCAGCAGCCGGCAGGACAGAGGCCTCACCAGGGACAGGGGACGCGGAGGTGCAGGTATGAAAGGCAGGCGAGAGTCCCGCCACACTGGATGTCAGTGACATGTCCTCCATCCTCCCACCCTTGCCAGGCCCCACAGCAGCCCTTTTTTTTTTTTTTTTTTACTTTTTGCGGCCAACATGGCCAACCCGAGTTCGATTCCTCCACCCCTCTCGGAGAGCCCGGCAAGCTACCGAGAGTATTCGATATGCCAGACACAGTAACAACAAAGTCTCCAATGGAGACGTTACTGGGCCCACTCGAGCAAATCAACGATCAACGGGAGGGCCTTTACCTTTTTTTTTTACTTTTTGAGTAAAAAAGCCACAGCCATGCTTAAGACCACTCCACACGTTCGGACGAGCCTCACGCATGAAGGAGCCAGCAGAGGAACCCAGGTGTGTGGGACCTGGGGTGTAGATCTCTAAGCCTGCTTGGATTGGGACTGGGCCTCCTCCACCCAGATCCCCCATCTTCCAGTAGCTAGGCTTTACACCCACCAATTGCCCCCAGTGCCGTGTAATCCCATCAATGGCTAAGACCCAGAGACTAAAAATCCAGCTCCCGGAAGTGAGCGGCCACATTTGCAGCCACGCTACATCTTATTATCTAGTTTTTATTCTGGAGAACCTGGCAGGCTACCGAAAGTATCCTGCCTACATGGCAGAGTCTGGCAAACTCCCCGTGGCGTATACAATATGCCAAAAACCAGTAACAATGATGGGTCTCATTCTCCTGACCCTGAAAGAGCCTCCAATGTGGCACTTTCTAAAATCTCAGGGCTAGGACAAAGGAGACGTTACTGGTGCCTGCTTGAGGAAATTAATGAACAACAGGATGACAGTGATAACAGTGATAACTTTTTGAGTCATGCCCGGCAATACTCAGGGGTCATTCCTGGCTCTGCACTCAGGAATCATTCCTGGTGGTTCATGGGTAGACTATATGGGATGCCAGGGATTGAATTTGGGTTGGCCGCGCGCAAGGGAAACACTCTCTCTGCTATGCTATCACTCCAGCCCCTGCAGCAGCTTCACTTGTTTATGTTTATGTTTATTATTTTGGGTGTGGGGGGCCACACATGGTGGTGCTCAGGGATCACTCCTAGTGGAGTTCTGGGAGGGCAGTGGATGGAACCTGGGCCGGCCATGCACAAGGCAAGTGCCTTCCCTGCTGTGCTAGCATTTAGGCCCACTCTTTTATTTTTATTCAAACAGTTATTATTACTTATCTTTTTTGGGTTTTTTTGGAGGTGGGGTGGTGGTGTTGGATGTTGGATTGTACCCAATGGTGTTCAGAAGCTATTACTTGCCCTGTGCTAGGGAACCATGTGTGGTACAAGGGGTTGAACCGCGGTCAGTTGTGTGCAAGGCAAGTGCCTTATCCCCCCGCGCCCCCACCCCCTATCGTTCTAGCTATGCTATCTTTCCAGCTCTAACATTTTATTAGTTTATCTTTCTCTCAGCCTGCGGCATGTTATTTTATTTGGGGGGGGGGGGGTGTCACACCAGCTGTGTTTAGGGATCACTCCTGGCAGTGCTCAGGAGACTGAATGTGGTCTTGAACATGGGTCAGCCACCTGCAATGCAAGTAACTTAACCCCTGGACTATCTCTCCAGCCCCTGCCTATAGCATCTTAAAACAACAAAAACAGAATAAGCTGCTCCCCTTTCCCACAGGCCTCCCCACCACCAGCATGCTGACTTCATCTCAAAGGGAAACTGAGACAAGAGGATCCTTTGGGCCCACGTGCCACACTTCAAACTCACCTTGCTGGCCAGAGCAGTGGCCTTCCCTCACTTAGGAAAGAAAAGTGAAAGCTTTTTTCTTTTCTTTTTTTTTTTTGGCTTTTTGGGTCACAACCGGTGATGCACAGGGGATACTCCTGGCTCTTCACTCAGGAATTATTCCTGGCGGTGCTTGGGGGACCACATGGGATGCTGGGAATCGAGCCCGGGTCGGCTGCATGCAAGGTAAACACCCTACCCTCTGTGCTTTTGCTCCAGCCCCCAAAGTGGAAGCTGTAGCTCCCCCAAGCCCCCCCTCTCACCTGGAAGTGGCCGATCTTCTGGCCAAAGGCTTCCCTCACGTGCAGGTAGGGGATCGTGTGGTCGAGCACGGCCTGCATGATGCTGCCGGGGAGGAGGAAGACGCTGGAGAGATGCCTCACCGGCCCCCCACAGCCTGCCTGGGCAGAGGGTCAGTGTGGACAGGCCTGGAGGGCAGGGGTGGGTGCAAGCTGGAATCCCGGAGCAGGGGAAGAGGGAAGATGAGGACTGTGTCACCCTCGCAGTCACCCTGTGGCTGCCCAGACCAAGCCCATCCCCGGACGGGACCGGAGGAAACAAGCCTGGGTGTCTTGTGTCACACCCCAGTCTCTATGCCACTGACCCTCACACCTTCCTGGTCACTGAATCGTGTTTGCCTTCTGTGTGACTTCCACAAGGGGTTGGGGGTGGGGGGTGGGGTTGAGCTTCTCTGCTGGCTGGCTGGTTTGGAACAAATCATATCCAGGGGTGCTTGATGACTTCTTTGGGCTCAGGGCTCACTCCCTGGCAGTGCTGAGATCGAACCTGGGATTTCTGCATGCACAGCATGCTTCCCCACCCACGAAGCCATCTTCCCAGCAGAGAAAGAAGTTCTTTCTGTGTCCAGGAGGAATAGGCAGCCCCTCTGGCCTCCGGGGGAAGGCTGCAGCGACACCACCTGGCAAGGGGCACCCTAGCATCCCATGCCCCTGAACCTTGCACTTACCCAAGGGGTCCGCCAGCCAGCACCAGGCGCTCGAGGTCCAGCCCGCTCATCAGCACATAGACACCTTTACTCAAATGACCCAGGATGTTGGCAGCTGCCGGGAGAGGTGGTCATTCAGAGGTAGCGTCTGCAGCCTTGGCTTTGCTGCACACTCTTAGGTTTGGTTTGTCTACCTTTTTGGTTTGGGGGCTACCGCCAGTGGTACTCAGAAGCTATTCCTGACTCTGTGCTTAGGAGTTGGCCCTGGACAGTGCAAGGAGGAATGACATGAGCCACTGGGGATTTGGGCGAGGCTTGGAAAGATGCAAGGCAAATGTCTTGACCACTGGACTATCTCTTTTAAGTCTGGGGGTATGGGGATGGCCCTCTCTAAGGCCGTGTGAATTCACCTGGCTTTCAATTAGTGTTCCAGTGAGGAAACGGGTGAGGTTTACCGAGGAGAGCCTGCTAGAGTTGCCCGTCCCCAACTCCCCAGACCAGACCAAGGCCCACGTATAGCTCTTCCCCTTCTCTTCTTGGGTTGCCCTGGAGGGGATGAAGAGAAGCAAGTCTGGCCTGAAGTCCTGCAGCCCAATTCTCTTAATACCTAATCTCGCAAGGGAAATGAGACCCTCTGGATCTTGGGTCAAGGGTCACCTCATGCACGCAGTGACATGGAAAAGTCTCTATCCACATGGTGACAGGAACGGCTGGGCATCTCTCCCCAACCCCCATGCTAGGACACTGTGGCTGGGAGGCAGCAAGAACAGGAAACTGAGGACAGATAGCACTAACATGTGAGCCTTTAATGCCATGACTGGTGGAGCCCACACTGGCCCCTTCCCTGGATTCTCTGTTACCCACATGTCCTCGTCCCAGGTGGGGGACACTGGGGTCGTGGACTGCAGGCATGGAGCAATCTGACTGAGTGAGCAAACCACTGCATCAGCGCCCAAGGGTGTGGCCTCTCAGTTAGACGGGGGCAGGAAAATATTCCAGCACCCACTGAACTGTCTCCTTTCAGAGTCTGAATCTGCCCATTCCTTCAGAGGGGGGTTTTGTGGCATTAACAGAGGCTTCATACAGACCGTGCAGGCAGTGTGCAGATGAGGGAGGAGATCTATCTCCTCCCGTTTCCTTCCCTTCTTCCCTTCTTCCCTCCCTCCCTTCCTTCCTTCCTTTCTTCCTTCCTTTCTTCCTTCCTTCTTCCTTTTTTTTTGATTTTGTGGCAACACTTGGTGCTCAGGGCTTACTCCTGGTTCTGCGCTCAGGGATCACTCCTGGAGGGCTCTGGGGACCATATGTAGAGCCAGGGATTGAACCCAGATGGGCAATGTACAAAGCAAGCATCTGATCACTGCACTATCTGACCAGCCCAGATTGTTTTTTCGTTTTTGTTTTTGATAAATCTTTTTTTTTTCTTTTTGAGTCATACCCAGTGATGCACAGGGGTTACTCCTGGCTCATGCACTCAGGAATTACTTCTGGCAGTGCTCAGGGGACCATATGGGATGCTGGGAATCGAACCTGGGTTGGCCGAGTGCAAGGCAAACGTTCTACCTGCTGTGCTATCACTCCAGCCCCTTGTTTCTGTTTTGTTGTGCTAGGGATCTAACCTAGGGCTTCACACAATAAGGAAAGGGCTGAGTCACTGAGTTCCATCTACCCTGCCCAAGGTCTGAGCTGAACTGCGAAGCACAGTTACTGCTGTCCCCCTCCTCCCCCACCACCCCAGGAAGCCGGCCTTCCCTGCAGCACCCTCAGGTTTAGGGTCCCACACGAGCTTCTTTAATGCGCTTTCTCAGCTTTCCAGGGGGTCTGGACAGGGGTACCCCATTCTCACAGACTCACCAGGCACCTTGCAGTCTTCAAAGACCAGCTCACAGGTGTTGGAGCCGCGCATGCCCAGCTTGTCCAGCTTCTTGGCGGTGCTGAAGCCAGGCATCCCCTTTGTAGGAACAGAAGGTAGCCTCGAATACAGAGCAGCCCCCGAGCCGCCAAGTGAAGGCAGGACCCCAGGGAAGGGACCCTCTCCCCATCAGGTCCCGTCAGCCCCCGTGCTTGCGTCCTGCCGCAGAGCACGCAGCCCCTTTCTGCGGGCTGCAGCTCTGTTCCTGGAAGTCTGGGTTCCAGCACCTGGACTCCTCTGCAGCACCGCTCACTTCCCAGAGGAAATGCCACAAGATCCTTCTGCCCCTCCTGGCTTGCTTTTCTTTCTTCAGGGGCAGTCAACCCGAGTGCTCCTCCCCACCCAGGACTGACTGGCCCATCTACAGCCCCGTGGAGCATCCCTGTGTGCTACTCGCACTGAGATTTCCCATCTGTGCCCGGCCCCTTGAGCTACGCACATCGCTCCTCCCATCTCAGCTCCTCTCCCGAGGAGGGTGCTGCCGCCTTCTCGGCACCCATACAGGAAGCTCCCTCCGAAACCCCACCTCTGTGATCCCCAGCCCATACGGAGGACTGATCTCTTTGCTTTCTCCTAACTGAACAGTAATTGGCTCATTTCTCCCCCGGAGGAAAGCAAGCTCAAGACTCCTCCAACTGGGGCCGGAGCGATAGCACGGTGGGTAGGGCATTTGCCTTACACGTGGCCGACGCGGGTTCAATTCCCAGCATCCCATATGGTGTATGAGCCAGGAGTAACCCCTGTGCATCACTGGGTGTAACCCAAAAAGGAAAAAAAAAAAAGACTCCCCCAACCCCTTTCCTCCCCCTTTTGCTTTTCTTGGCTTTTGGTCCAGACCTGGCAATGCCCTGGGCTTACTTCTGGCTCTGATCAGGGATCACTCCTGGCAGTGCTCCAGGGACTGCATATGTGGTGCCCAGGGATTGAACCAACGTTCGCTGTGTCAAGGGCAAGCCCCCTTACCCTCTGTACTAGCTCTTTGGCCCAGATGCCCCATTTCTCATTCTGATTCCCATTAGCTCCTTCCAGACTCTGATCGCCAGATCTGCCTCAAGCCACCTTCACTCTCCACCTGTGTTCCCCTCATTTTTGTTTCTTGCAGCTGATACCGCCCAGGCCACCGATGATACCCTGAAGACAAAGACAGAGGGCTCTTCTCTCCTCGGTCCTCCTATAGAGTGTGGCTCTAAGGAAGAGGCCCACCATCCAGGATGCCACTTTCTAACCCGTCTGCTTGCCTGCCTCAGCTCACCCCAGGGAGCCTTGGCCAAGTGCACGACACTGCCAACGTTGGCCCTCGGCTGAAGAACATCGCTGCTGTCTCTCTCCCCATGCTCACCTTCTCCACGATGAAGGCGGTTATACCCCGAGAAGCTGGCACAGCGGTGGTGTCTGTCTTGGCATAGACAATAAGGACATCGGCATCGGGGCCATTGGTGATCCAGAATTTATTGCCGTTCAGGACGTAATGATCGCCTAAAAGATTAGGAAGTTAGCCTCTGGTTCCGGCCATGTTGGCCTGTCCTGTCCAGTCCATCTAACTGAGCAAGAAGCTGCCCTGCCAAGGAGACAGTTCTAGGGATCCTGCAGTGCTCCCCCAAACACAGCCCCTCCTCCTGACCAGCTCTCACTGCTTGTTCTAACTCCCACGGCCAGAGAACCCTCACCTTTCTTCTCTGCTTTGAGCTTCATGGAGACAACATCAGAGCCAGCATTGGGCTCGCTCATGGCCAAAGCACCGATATATTCACCGCTGATCAGCTGCAAAGAGAACCCCAAAGGGCTGGTTATGACTTTGGGGGACACTCAGGACCTCCTGATAGTGCATCTTGCCCTGCTCACATGACACCCCTTCAGACTTCTCTCATACCAGCAGATGAGTCACGCAGATATTCAGAAGAGGAACCGAATATCTACAAGGCCCAAAATTTCTCCTCCCCTATTTTCTTTGCAGGCGAAGCTAGTTCTCATCTTGTTAATTTTGGGGATCTCTTGAGCAGTGCTTGGGGGGTTCCAGGACCACTGCTGATGATAGTGAACTTGGTACTGCTCTGGCCCAGCAGTGTTGGGGATCACCAAGGCCACCGACGCTGGGAGACAGTGTGGTGCTAGGAAGCAAGCCTGGGTCTGGCGCATGCACTCCAGCTCTTAGAGAGCCCTGAAAAGGTATCCAGTGAGCCACTCAGGGGTTCTGGCCCTCCTTTGGTTTTGCTTTTCTCTCTCTCTTTTTTTTTTTTTTTTTTGTTTTTTGGGCCATACCTAGCAATGTTAGGGTCCACTCCTGGCTCTGCCCTATACTATTGTTGCAGCCTTACTCTAATTTTCTTTACAGGGGCCATGCAGTGCCAGAGTTGAGCACAGGGGGCAGTAAACTGAATTCAGCACCATGCACATGCAAAGCACGTGTAATCTTCCCTGCCCAGGACCTCTTTTTATGATAAAAGAACCTTCAGTCAAAAGGTTAATATATGGTAGAGAGATAGCTCAAAGAGAGCCTAACGTGTGGGAGCCGCAGATTCGATTCTTGGTCTTCCATAGTCCATCACCATAGTCAGGTAGATCCCCCCCAAAAAGAAGGAAGGAAGGAAGGAAGGAAGGGAGGGAGGGAGGGAGGGAGGGAGGGAGGAAGGAGGAAAGGAAGGAAGAGCAAGTTAGGTCCTTCATAATGGTCTGACTCTTCCTTCCCATTTTCTCCTTTGCTGCAGCTGGGAAGAAGCCAACATCCGAAGTTGCAGATCCCAGGAAAGCACAGCTTCCTTGCTGGCCAGCCATCATCCTCCTGGATACTCAGACTGTCCAGGGTCTCATCTCCGTGATGTCCTGGGATCTGGGAAAGGCACTGCTCTCCAGACTGGCCCACAGGGAGGCCACAGTGACAGTGCTATGGCGTGTGTGATCTCAGATGTGTCAAAAGCTTGATTGATGCCCCGATTTGGGGGGGGGCATGTATCAAGCATACACACAAGGCAAATGCATGGCAAGAGTTTTACCTCTAAGCTACATCCCTGATCCTTGACTGATATATTTAATTTCTTGGTTTGTTTTTGGGCCATACCCAGTGGAATTCAGGGGCAATTCTTGGCTCTGTGCTCAGTTATCACTGGTGGTGCTTGGGGAAACATATGTGCTGCCCAGGATTGGAACCAGGGTCAAGGCAACATGCAAGGCCTTCTCTTGTATGCTATTTCTCTGGCTCCCCACTGAAAAATTTTAAAGTAAATCCCTGACTTGACCCTTTTCTAACCGTGACTTGTTTGGGGCAGGAAGCCATGAAAAGCAGCCGATGATTGTCCCCAGTCAAAGAGAGAGAGAATGTTTCATGGTTAGTGGCTGTACCTTCCGACAAGACCCATGTTTCTCTCATCCCAGTCGCTCACCTTTGGGAGGTATTTCTCCTTCTGGGCCTCATTTCCATTGCGCACGATTTGATTGATGCAGAGGTTGGAGTGGGCACCGTAGCTGAGGCCGACAGATGCAGATGCTCGCGATATCTCCTCCATCACCAGCACGTGCTCCAGGTAGCCCAGGCCGGAGCCACCGTACTGAACTGGGAGTAGAGGCAGGGGGAGGTGGGGCCGTGGGAAAGGGGGGGGGTTAGGTTAGGTCGTGACACTGACAAGAACCTCATACTTCTTGGCAGCAGAGAACCCCTCCACACCCCAGCACTTAATTTCTTTTCCTATGAGGCCAGACAAACAGGATCTGTCCCAGACACCTTTCAAGGTCATAGAACTGGTTCTGCCTGTTGCCTAGGAGCAGTTAAAGTGTAGTTTAAAACAAAAAATTTGGCAATACCTTTTTTTTTTTTGGAGTCACACCCAGCAATGCACAGGGGTTACTCTTGGCTCATGCACTCAGGAATTACTCCTGGCAGTGCTCAGGGGAACCATATGGGGTGCTGGGAATCGAACCTGGGTTGGCCGCATGCAAGGCAAACACCCTGCCCGCTGTGTTCTTGCTCCAGCCCCAGCAATACCTTTTATGACAGACACACCTTAAGGGAAAACCAAAGAATCTGAGCTGCTACAATTTAAAAGTCACAGATAGTTGGGCTGGGGAGATAGTACAGCTAGTAATGCACTTGCCTTGTCCATGGCTGACCCAGGTACCACGTATGGTCCCCAGAGCCCCATCAGAAGTGATCCCTGAGTGCAGGAGTAAGCCCTGAGCACCACTGGGTGTGGTCCAGTCCTTTCACCACCCCGCCCCCCAAAAAGGATGTAGCACTACTTGAATCCTACAGTGCTAGGGGATACCCAGGCCACTCTGGGGAGATTCCGAGGCCTCCAGATGATGCTTGGGGGACCACAGAGTACTGGGGATAGCACCAGAGTCAATGCATGCAAGGCATGCAACTTAATTACTGAGACTATCTCTGCCCCCAGAAGTACAATCTTGTTGTTATTTGGGCCACACCTGGCTCTGTGCTCAGGAAGCATAATGCTCAGTTGATCATATAAGGTATTGGGGATTGAATCTGGGCTGGTGACATGCAAGGCAAACAATCCTGCCCATTGGACTCTCTCTCTCTCTCTCTCATCTTTTTGGGTCACACTTGGCGATGCTCAGGGGTTACTCCTGGCTCTGCACTTAGGAATTACTCCTGGCGGTGCTCAGGGACCATATGGGATACTGGGAATTGAACCTGGGTTGGCCGCGAGCAAGGCAAACACCCTACCCACTGTGCTATCACTCCAGTCCCTGGACTATCTCTTGTCCTCATCAATAGATTCCTTTTCCTTTTTTTTTTCCTCTTTGAGAGGGGGCCACATCCAGCAGTATTTAGGAGTTACTCCTGGTTCTGCACTGAGAAATTACTCCTGGTAGGCTCAGGGGACCTTATGGGATGCCAGAGACTGAACGCGGATCAGCTGCATACAATGCAAATGCCCTACCCACTGTACTACTGCACTGGTCCCCAAAAGTATATTCTTTATGGGGGCTCCTAAGAGCGGGAGAGTGTTGCTTGAGAATCCCCAGCAGTCACACCCATGCCATGTGATGTTCAAATGGGGACATGTTAATGTGTAAGGAGTTTCATTTAATCATTACTCATTATGTAACTTTCTGTGATGGTTAAACTTCCTCTAGGAGGTGAAGGCAGGATGTGGTAAGTACATTGATCCACCTCTGCTCCCACCTCCAGGTCGAGGGGGGTCCTCATCCACTCTGCTGGCATGGCCATGTGCTCCCTGAACCCCGAGCCTGGCCGGGCCTCTCCTTCAGAAGCTCTGGGGCAGGGCCAGTCCACTAACTTGTCATCTGGTCACGCATGTAGGAGGCGTTCAGGCAGGCTTCGCCCTCACCTCCCACCCCCGGCTGCTCCCAAATGAGCCCCTGGGTCAAGCTGTGTGCAGAGAGAACTAAGGCTGCTGCTACAGGGACACATTAGCTGACAGCGATCCTGCCTGTTATCAGGAAGGCACATCTTAGGGATTCAGGGACACAGCAAGGAAAGTGAGGCACTGAGACAACTGCTCACCCAGAGAGTTTTCTAAAATCCCCAAGTCACCTTGTTTTATGGTTTTGTGGTGGTGCTGGGGGTGCTGGTGGAATGTGGAGAAGGATGTTCCAGGAATTGAACCCAGGGCTCAGCATACAAAGACATGCTCTAGCCCTTTAAACGATCTCTCTGGCCCAAAGCTCACTATTAAGGAGACTGATTTCAAAAGTCTGTGTATTCTGATGCAAGAGAAATACACTGATCCTTTGTTTTCTCACTTCACTGCCTAAATAAACACCGGACAGACTCTTCTCTGGGCTACTAGATGCTTTGAGTATTAAAGAGAGAAAGATATTCAGGAGTTCTTCTAACATGATCCTTCTCTTCCTGTCCCTCTTCCTTTGGGAAGGGTGTTAAAGGGCATGGAAAAAAGTTTTCTTTAGTGGGGAAAAAAAAACCCAACTATACTCACCAGGGGCTGTGATGCCCAAGACTCCCAAGTTCCCCAGCTGCTTCCAAAACTCCTGCCAACAGAACGAAGTCAGGGTGATGAGGCGGGAGAAGCAGCAGTCAGTCATATCCAGTGAAACCCAAATACTCCACAGAAAGGGGCTGCATTTTTAGGGAAGTCTCAGTACCAGAGACTGTGTGAGCCCTTCTGAGGGGCAGGGCCCCCAAGACCTTTCCAACTCAGCACCCAGACTGTACTCCCTCCACCTTAGCACCCAGACTGCACCCCAGCCCCCCGACTCCCCAGCATGGACCCCAGAACTCACTCGCAGATTCTTGAACTCATTGCTCTGATCAATCTCTTGTGCCTGGGGGGCGAGGTTCTCCTGAAGGAACTTAGCCATGGTCTGTCGAAGCTGCGGGGGGCGGGGGGGAGGGAAGATGCGAACAGATGCTGTTGAAACCGTCTGATACTGCTGAGGATAGCATCTCCAGGACTGAGGATGCAGTTTGGGACAAGGAACCTCACCAGGAAGCATCAAGCTAAAACCTGGAAGCTCCACCAGGTAAACTTTCTCAGAAATGATCCTTGCCTCATATAATCTTCCACTAGGGGCTAGAGTGATAGTACTAGTCATTTGTAAGACACTTGACCGGCATGTGGTTGACCCATGTTCAATGCCTGGTACCATATATGGTCCCCAGAACCTCATCAGGAGTGACTCCTGAGGGTGGAGCCAAGAATAGGCCCTGAGTACTTTGGGGTGTGCCCCCCCCAACAAAAGAAAACGAAACAAAAATCTTCCATTGTTGGAGGCGGGGGTGGAGCCATATCTCTGAGTGTTAAGCAGCTTATTCCTGGAAGTGGTCAATGGACCATGTCATGCTGAGGAACATATGCATTGTGTTCTGCTCACTGAGCTAGTTCTCTCTGTCCCTTACCTGGTTATGCTTAGGTGCCGGCATGTCCACACCAGCAGTGTTCGGGGGCCATGGAGGGCAGGTATCAAACCCAGGATCTTGCCCATGGAAGGCTTATTTATGTTAAATCACTTTAGCAACATCCCCACTATGAAGGTTGTTTTGAAATGTCACTCAGGGAAGAGACAGGACAGGGCTTAAGGCAGTTCCCTCTAAGTGTCAGACCCCTGTTCAATTCCTGGCACCATATACTTTTCCAAGAGCAACAAGGGTGATCCCTGGACATAGAGCCAGGGATAGACACTGAGCACCATCAGTTGTGACTCCCAAACCAATATAAACAAATAAAACATAACTCTCCTACACAAGTATTCCACGGCTTTCCACTGTGCTTAGCTGAGCCCCACCAGCTGGCCCCTGCTGACCCATCCTTCCCCTACCTCTCAGCATCCGAACTCCCCTCCTGCCCTCCACTCTCCCCTCTCTGCCCCTCCCCCTCCAGTTCAGTTCCTGCCACACTTCCTTCAGTTCTATGCACTGCATGCCAGGTTCTTTCCCACCAGTGAACTTAGCTTTTGGTCACACCCAGTGGTGCTCAGGCATCACTCCTGGTGAGGCTCAGCTGCATGCCAAGAAAGCACCCTGCCCAGGTACCATTAGAGTGCAAGCAAGTATAAAACAGTGTCCTAATCCTGCTGAGAAATCCTTTTTGCCAGAGGTGATTCTGAGAATTCTTGTTCATTGCTCACCCAGAGTGTAGTCCAGGAAGATTCTAGTACCTCCTCAAAGACAAAAGGCGAATCTTGTTCCAGGTCAACTCCAAGCCTACATACACAAGCATGCCCCCCGGGTCACTGCAACTGAATATGATCATCTGTTCAGTTGTATCAAGTCTTTACTCTTCTCTGTGTTTTGCCCAATAGGGCCAGATCTTAGTGGCGGATAGCTCGTGCATTAAACAACAACAATAACAACAATCCAGAAGTGAGTGAAAAAATAAGAGATTTCTCAAGTGATGATTTACTAAGGCGGAGAAGCACAGGCTTAGACAACTTTTTGGAGGTTAAGAGTCCGCCTTCGGACGGCTTGGGTTTTTTTTTTTTTTTGCCATATGCACAGAGCCATGCCAACTCTCAGCCATGCCAACTCTTCAGCCTCCTAGGAGAGTTTCTAACCCCCTCTCCCTCTCCCTCTCCTCATGCGGGGAGCAGGGCCTAGCGGTCCGAGTGGGGCCGAGGCCCGCGCTTGTGCCCTGCAGGCGCTCCCGTGCCCGAGGCGCTCGCGGCAGGACGGGTGCCAGGAGGAGTTGGCGCTGCCACCCAGCACGCTGATGGGGCCGCGGCGGGGGATCAGACGCCCTACCTGCTTCTGCTCCTCTGTTAGTCCATTGATAGCATCGTCCACGGGCAACAGCGAGTGGGCCCGTTGGGAAACGAGGCCTGCGAGCAGCCGCAGCGGAGGACGCAGCCTCCAACTCGCCACGCGTCTGCCCAGAAGCCAGCCCGTAGTCGCCATCTCTGCAGGTCCGGGCACCCCGGCAGCCGAGGCTTATAAACCTGCGTCCCTGGGCTCCACCAATCCCCGTCTTCACCGCCCCCAAGCCCCACCCAATCGGCGAAGGGGTGGGTCTGCAGTGACCAATCCTCTCGCGCGGATCTCTGAAGGCCGCGCTGCCCTTGGCCACGGCGCGAGCCAATCAGCTGTGACCCCGGCGAGGGTGCGGGCTGCAGCCTGGGTCCGGTGCGTGTCCGCGGGAGGAGGTGGGGTCTTTTGGAGTCAAGAGCCGCGGAAGCGTTTTCTCGCTGGAGTCGAGGACGAACTATCTCTTGATGTAATAACACAAGCTCCAGCTACAGAAGCCTCTCCGGGCCGGAAGGAGAATATTCGAACAGCAGATCCAGTGTTTGAAAAAGAAACGGTGAAGGCAAATCTGAAATAGCTGACCGCCAAAGTAGCCGTGTTTTACTGTGCACACTGATTATGACTTTGTAAAATCTGCTTTATTATGTACTAGGGAAACACTTTGCTGTAGTATATGACTTCTTATTATTATGTAACAGATGTTTGGTTAATTTTATTTTTAATTTATTTTTAATTTTTATTTTAGTTTGGTTTGGGGGCCACAAAGCGGTGAAGCTCAGGGATCATCCCTGGCCGGGTGCAGGGCACTATATTCATATGGGTTTTCAGGGATCGAACTCGAATTGGCCACCTGCAAGGCAAGTGCACTGCCTGCTGTACTATCTCTCTGACCCCCAGCCTGACTGTTTTTAAAATGCATATTTTGTTATTTCGTTTTGGGGCCACTGGGGGACCATGGAATGTTTGACCGAAGAGATCATACCCAAAGTACCTGCATGAAAGGCACTTAACTCACCTCTTTGAGCTGGATACCCTGAAGGTTCTATGTGGGCTTTTTTTTGTTGTTATTTTTGGTTCACACTCCTAGTACTCAGGGCATACACCTGACTTTGTGCTTGTAATCATTCCTGGCTCTGCACTCAGGAACTACCAGTGGTTTGTCAGGGATCCAACTCCAGTTGGCCACATGCTAGTGTGTGTGTGTGTGTGTGTGTGTGTGTGTGTGTGTGTGTGTGTTTTGGTTTGGGTCATAGCTGGTGGTTCTGGGAGCACGACTCCTGGCTCAGTGTTGAAGGGTCACTCCTGGTAGTTCTGGGGTCCTTGGGTGTGCTGAGAACCAAACGGGCCTCTTGCATGCAAACCTATATAAAATAGTCTTTTTGAAACCCCAGCCTACTATCAATATTAAACAAGGACAGGCTGTGTTTGTCCTGATGTCTAAAGATAAGGACCAATGGGGATTAGCAATCAAGAAATAACCAATGAAACTGGGGAATTATGTTGTTCATTCTGGCATCCACTGGTACCACTGGTCTGAGGGCTACCTGCATTCTTTCCTGATCTTTCCATATAGAAACCCTTCTGGTGACCATGCAGCCCAAGATCGCTGTTTTGAGGATAGGGGTCCCCAATCTTCCAACCTGCTGGTGTGTTGCCAATGAAATCTGCTGTGTGGCCCAAAAACCAATGAATCAATCAATAATCTGTACCTCGCCTCCTCTGCAGTTGGGTCTGACCATCTGAGCATTATCTTTTCTTGAAATTAATATAAATGGGTTTGCCCATTTCATCAAGTATATTGGCAAAAATCACTCCAAAAGTCCTCTAAGTTTTTCATTCTGATCATATATGAAGGCTGTCCTCTTTGAATCAATATACCAGTAATTTGCAATTTTTTTCTCGATTGTTGTTAGTGCTAATTGTTACAATTATTAGCATTCATTTTGTTGTGAATTTTATGTATATTTTTCTATTGCTTTTATTTTTATTTGATTTTGGGGCTGCATCTTGTGATGCTTAGGAGTTACTCTTGGCTCTGCACTCAGGAATTACTCCTGGTGGTATTTGGGGGACCATCTGAGATGCCAGGGATCAAACCCTGGTCAGTAGCATGCAAGGCAAAACCTCTACCACTGTGCTATGGCTCTGGCCCCTCTATTGCTTATTTTTTAAAAGTTTATTGTGATTTCGTTCATCTTTGTTTTGTTTGTTTTTATTTTTGTGTCATGCTTGGGGAGTACTCCTAGCTCTGGCCTCAAGAATTACTGCTGGAGTTGCTCAGAGAACCATATAGAACCATATAAGGTAGGGATTAAACCCCAGTCAGCTGCATGCAAGGCAAACGCCCTACGCATGGTACTATCACTTCAGCCCTTTGTGATTTCTTCTTAAACTTCCTAATAATCTGACTTCTTTCCCACTGTGCTTGGGGGTGTCACTCCCAACAGTGCTTGAGAACATGTGGTGGCAGAGCTTGAACCTGAGCCTCCTCCATATTAAAACATGCACTCAGCCTGTTGATCTCTCCAACCCAAATGTATACTATAAAAAAAAATTTTTTTTTGGTGGAGGAGCCATACCAGGTGACTCCTGGTTCTGTGCTCAGGGATCATTCTTTGTGGGGCTTGGGGAACCATATGGGATGCCAGGGATTGAAGTCATGTATGCCATGTGCAAGGCAAAAGCCCTACCTACTGTACTATCACTCTGGTCCTTAACTTTTTTTTTTCAAAAATTGTTTTAAATGAAAAAGGGTTCGGAGCAGATTTCCATGTTGGGTTGTGTTTTTGTTTCTATTTTCGTTTTTTTGCAGTAATGGGGATTGAGTGCGGGGCCTCAAACATGCAAGGCAAGTGCTCTACCACTTTATCTTGTACACTTTAGTATACCCTCTTGTGCATCTTACTAAGTCTCAGTACATTTTACTTAAACATTGTACTGGGTGGAGGCAGAGAGTAGTACAGTAGGTAAAGTGCTTGCCTTGGATAGAGCTGACCCAGGTTTGATCCCTGGCAGCACAGATAGCTCCCCTAACATTGCCAGGAAAGAAGCTTCTTGAACATAGAGCTATAAATAAGTCCTGAGCATGTCTGGGTATGGTCCAAAACAAATAAAAATTGTACTGAACCTCCAGAAAATAGGTTAAGGTACTGGAGCACCTGTTTTGCCTGCAGGGGATTAGGTTCGACCCACTCACCCAGAACCACAAGTAGTCATCGCTGACAAGAAGAAGATGGGTACCTACAAGAAGCTCCTGAGCTTCACTGGGTATAGCCCAAAATCCACTAAATGAGTTAATGGAGTGAATCGTATGTAACAAAGTTTCTCATTGTAACCTTCTCCCCACATCCTTTTGGTTTTTGAGCAACATACAGCCATGCTGAGAACTACTCTTTTTTTGGGGAGGGGGCGTGGAGCAGCAACCTGACAATGCTCGGGGCTTACTCCAGGCTCTACATTCAAGGATCACTCCAGGTGGGTTCCTCAGGAGGCCATATGAGATGCCAGGGATCAAAACCAGATCAGCTACATGCAAAACAATTGCCCTACCTGCTGTACTATCTCTCCCATTCAGGGGCTACACTTGATTTATGCTGTTACTCCAGAATGGTGCTAGGGATCAAATCTTGGCCTCCTACATGCAAAGCATGCACTCAATCTTTTGAGCTGTCTCCCCACATTTTTTCAACTTCTTTAAGTGGTTTAAGTGCTTACTATTCAGTGGCAATAAGAACCTTCACAATGTTTTCAACCACCATTGTTCTCCTTTTCCAGAATCTTTCAAGTCTTACAGAAACTGTTTTAAACTGTAACTTCCTCTTTCCTATGATGCCAGGGATCAAAGCATTGAGAACTCAGGCCAAGGCTATTTGGAGGTACTGTATGTAACTTCCTCCCAAAAGCCAGTTGACTCTTGCTTGCTTTTTCAAGCCTGCATTCTCTCTTGAACATGTATTTCTTTTCTCTTGTCTTTCTTCCACTTTGTGAAAGCCCGTGTTCTCACATATTCCTCTCCTCTCCCCTCATGCCTCTTATTTTTTCTCCTTCCCTCCCCTTTTTATTGATTCACTGTGAGGTAAAGTAATTAAATCATACAATCATCAAACACCCATCCCTTCACCAGTGCAGTTTTCCACCACCAAAATCCCCAGTATCCCCCTCCCCCCGTTCCACACCTCCCCCTGCCTGTGTGGCAGACAATTTGCACAATACTCTCTTTCTCTATTTTGGTTACCTTCTATATTTCAAGACTAGTCCCAACATTCATCCCTGCCGAAAAGACAATGCTAGACAATGTGTTTTGTATTGCTTGTTATGGATACAATATGATGTCGTGTGGCCACGAGAGCGGCTGCGCACTCTAGGAATTCTAAAATTTTAATAATTAGGGTCTGCAGAGATTGCTGCAAGCAAGTTGCTCGAGTCCAAGATTTGTTTGTGTGTCTCTGGCTCATGGCCATGTGGGAGCTTAAGTAGACGGTGGCTGTATGTGGGCATCATCTCAGAGTCCAATCGAGGTGGGGGGAAAGAGAAGGACCAACTCCTCCCCTGTCCCTTGAGGGCTGGCGTTTGCCACCCCCGCCACCCATACCTAGAGCTTTTCCCTGAGTTCTAGAAGATGGCAGCCACCGAGACTCCTAGAGGGCAGGCAGAGCGACGGCATCTGCCCCCAACTGGAGTGGCCCAGCGAAAGTGGCCTATTGCAAAGCCCAGAGTCATCTCTGCAGCAAGTTGCTCGCATCCAAGATTTGTTGTGTGTCTCCCCTCATGTCTTTCTAAGTAAATTCCCCCCTCCTTTTTTTTTATTTCCAAGGAGCTTTTATTTTTTATTTTTAAGCTCAATTTTTTTCCCAGTTACAAAGTTGCTTATGGTTGGGTTTTAGTCATACAATGTTACAACACCAGTCCCTTCACCAGTGTTCATTTCCCACCACCCGAAGGATCTAGAATTTCTGTTCCATAAAGTTAGGACTGAGTCCTTTTTGGCAAAGAGCAATGATCCCGAGTCTACAGCCCCCCAAGAACACGGGTGGTAGAGACCCAGGCACATCTGGATGGCCACCTCATGAGACTGGCAGAATGTGAGGGTCCATGCAAGAGGTGCTTGTAGCTGATTTTATGGGTCCTGACCCATTTCCCTTGGTCAAGCAGAGAAGAGGAAGCACTCTTC